GACCCGCCGGAGGAAGACCAGAGGCTATTGCACAAAGTCCATGTCAATATGGGCCATCCCGAGACCCGCCGTTTCTGTCGAGTTCTTAGGGCCGGGGGGGTCAATCGCCACCAGATAAGATGGGCCAGGAACAGCTTCCGCTTTGCCGAGTGCGAGGAGCATCGACGAGCGGGCAACCACCGCCGGGTGGCTCTTCCTAGAACCTTTCGTTTCAACCACATTGCGGGCATCGACCTGTTCTATTTGGATTTCCAAGGTGCCCCGCACCCGTTCATCAATGTGGTCGACCACGGATCTAATCTCCAGGTCTGTTGCAGAGTCGCGAATGCTAGGGCCGCCACTGTCTGGGCTGGTTTTGTGCAGTGTTGGTTGAGGCCACTAGGCGCTCCTCATTTTACGATTTCTGACGGAGGTTCCGAGTTCGGAGAACGTTTCGCTCGAGGGCTGGAGCAATGGGGGGTGAAGCACCGTGTGTGCGACGCGGACTCCCCCTGGCAGAACGGGAAGGTTGAACGCCATGGGGGTTGGATTAAAGACCGTGTGAAGGCCGAGCTCGACGCCGGAGCTCATCCGCCAGGGGGTCTGGAAGAGCTGGACACGCTCGCTCACGAGCTCACAGCCCATAAGAATCGACATTAGCACAGAGGAGGGTTCTCGCCACTCCAGCTTGTGTTTGGGGAGAACCCACGACTTCCACACGATCTTTTAAGCGGCGATTCTTACGGTCTCCCAGGCTGGGAGGACACTCTCCGACCCTCCTCTGAGCAGGATGCGGCCGGTGCTGAGTTCGCCAGGGCCCAGCAGATCAGGGCCTCTGCTCGCGACCTGGCTATGCGAGCCATGGCCCGCGAGAAGATAAGCCGCGCCTCGAGGGCCCGGGGTCCCGCTCCCAGGGAGTTCTCGCCTGGACAATGGGTCTACGTGTGGAGACGCATGACTAGGTCCTCGTCTCGAGCGGACGCTCTCGGCCGGCGTCGTGACGGATGGTGTGGTCCCGGGGCTGTGGTGCTCGCTCAAGGCGGGACTGTCTGGGTGGCGGTGCGAGCGCGCTTGTGGAAGTGCTCGGCCGAGCAGCTGCGTCTCGCGAGCGCTGGCGAGGAGCTGGGGGTGCAGTTGACGCAGAGTCCTCAATGGCAGGAACTGCTAAGACAGTCAGCCACCCGTCGAGCCACCGCTGTGGACGTGCAGCGAGAGGTCCCACCACCAGAGGATGCGTGGGACGACCAGGTTAGGAGAGATATAGATCCGACCCCTCAGGTGTCGGGTCAACCCGAGCCATCGCCAGAAGTTAGCCGTCCCGCCCAAGCGGTCCCAGTTCTTTTGTTTTCCCCAGGGGCCTCGATCCCCGACTCCGGGGTTCGCCGCGTTCCCGAGGGTCCCAGGGCCGAGGAACGAGGGCCAAATTCCGAGGCCGGATCGGCGGAGGCCCAAGCCGGGTCGGAGAGGACCAGGTTCCCATCTAACGACCTCTCCCGCCAGTCCTCGGAAGCTCATGGTTCCAGGAAAGGAGCCGAGAAAGTAGAGTCTCCGGTCCCTGCTCCGGATCCCTCCGCCGCTCCTTCTCCGGTTGCTGCTACTCCTCCTTCTGTTTCCGTGCCTCCTGGTCCTCCTCCTCCTCTTCTTCCTCTTCCCCAAGAGGAGCCGGCGTCAGAAGGGGTGGCTGGGGGATCTCGGGTGACCAGTGTTCCTCCCGGACCCAGGGCACGCCTGGCTCAGCCCGAGGACGCGCCGGCATGCATCCGTCGAGCCAGGTCCGAGGCCCCGCCGGAAGTGAAAAGGCCAAGGGTTGGGTCCCCACCTCCCGGCCTTGCGACTGCCCCTCCCCTCTCGTCTGTTCCTTCCTCCTCTTCCCACCCGTTGCCTTCCTCTTCCGAGGCTGGGACGTCGCCTGTCGTAAGAGAGGAGGAGCCAGCCAGACAGGTGCAGTCGGGCCGGCTGGAACCTCGAAGGCCAGTCAGCCAGATGGCGCGCGATCTCGAGACGCCGAGCCAAGCACGACCACCTGCTAGAGGCAGGAGTCGATCGCCCGCGGGAGAAGCCGCTGACTTTCTCATCTTCCCAGGAAATGTTGGTGACGGTGTCCAGGCCAGGCTCCTGGACCCAGGAGTTTTCGAGGATTCCGAGGTCTTTGCCACCAGTAGGGGAGGGGGGGGTTCTTTGAAAATTCTGTCGCCAGCCGAGTGAGAGAAGTTCGTCGCCTCCGACTCCAAGGAGTGGGAAGCGATGCTAGGCACGGGAGCGGTCGAGATTATTTCCCCGGCGAAGGCGGAGTTCGTGCGGAAGCTGCACTCGGATCGGATCATTTCCAGTAGAATGGTCCGACGATGGAAGCCGGTGGAAGGAACTTTCAAGGACCCCGATGCCAAATCACGGCGGTGTGTTCATGGGCACAGAGGCCCCGATTCAGGGGCGCTGGCGGTCTATGCCCCAACGCCGCAAACGTCGAGCATCATGATGTTTTTGCAGGTCGTCATGAACCTGGGTTTGTTTGCCGACATTGCCGATTTTAAAAATGCGTTCTGTCAGTCCGACTCCATTTCCCGCACCCAGGGCCAAAGCTTTGTGGAACCCTGTGAAGGAAACAGACTTTCCCCAGGTTCCTTGATTCTCTTAAAGGTGAATGTTTACGGACTTGACGACGCTCCCATGGCCTGGAGAAAGACAGTCGTCAGCTTCTTGGAGCGCCACGGTTTTACGCGTTCCCTGTTAGAGCCCTGCTGGTGGATACGATATGGACCGAACGGCAGTGTTCGGAACATGATGCTTCTAGTAGTTGGCGATTTCTTTATTGGGAGTGGTACGGCCGAGGACCGCAAGTGGCTCAGAGACCTACTGGAATCGAGATTCAAGTTCGGAAAGTACCGTGACTGTGGTGCCAGACCGGTGAACTTTGCAGGACGTCGAATCGCCATCGGGCCCAAACGAGCTGCTGTAGACATGGAAAAGTATATCTTGGCGGAGATACGACCGATGTCCGTGGCACGAGGTAGGTTGTCGCACAAAGACGCTCCACTCGAACCCTTTGAGTTTCGTGCTTTGAGATCTCTAGTGTATAAGTTCAACTGGCTCGGACGCGAGGTTCGTCCAGAGGCAGCCGGAGTGGCGAGCATTTTGGCAAGTCGCCTGAAGGCGGCAACCGCCAGAGACATCATCATCGCCAATAAGCTCGTTCGCCATCTACGATCATCAGCATCCAGGGGTATCGTTGTATGGAAGCTGGACCCAGACAAAATGGCTTTCGTATCATTTTCAGATGCAGGGGGTGTGGGCGCTTTCGGGGATATGATAGACGAGACGGGCCTCCCCGAGGACCCCACTCAAGGGGCATGGATGGTTCTCGCTTGTGACCAGGCTACTCTAGATAACAAGGCTGTTAAGGCGTCCATCCTCGGCTGGAGGAGCTCAAAGCTCCGTAGGAAGGCGCCCTCCACGTTGGCAGGGGAAACTCAAGCCCTGTCTGCCGCAGTAGCAGAAGTAGAATATCTTCAGATTTTATACCGAGATGCTGTTTTTAATGATGTCCATGTTCGTGACCATCATAGGGGATCCGGGCACTACTGTGTTACGCCGGGACTGCCGTCTGGGATCTAGGGAGAGGCAGGTGCATGTCGTAGATGCCAAGTCTATTTACGACACGATGATGAAAGAAGGAAATGCTAGTGCAAAAGATAGAAGGACGGCCATCGACCTAGCCATAGTCTGTGAGGCTCTAGAACGTGCTAAAGGTAGAGTTCGTTGGATACCACACGGTAGGATGCCAGTCGACTCGTTGACCAAGGATGACGTTACCAAGTGTAACGCAGCACTGTTCGACCTCATGACCAGCGGGAGATTGATCCTCATAGACGAAGGGTCAGAAGTAGAGCGGAGACGAGAGCAGCCAGGCCTGAAGAATCTTTCCCAAGCCGCCTCGAGGAAGGAGTTGAATCAGGCCGAGATGATTTCTTGAAGTGAGTTCTTCTCGAGCTTCTCCGAGGACTCGATCGGCAGTGGTGGTGGTGGTTATTGCTCTCCCCTCCTCCTCTCTTCCTGTCCTCAACGTCCCGCCCCGGTGCCGGACACCACAGAGGTGTTCCAGTGAGACCAAGGAGAATGTCTCATTTGTTTCGTACCAGCGTGCGAAGGCGCCAGTGCACTGATGATCAGGAGCTTGCGGCGTCCACAGGGGACCTCTAAACCTGCAAGAAAGTTTAGGGCATGTGAATGCGTGCCATAGTTTCACCGACATGTTTAGCTAGTGGACGTTTACCCTTGATTTGCGGTAGTGTGTGCACTATCGTCTGTACTGTTGCATACGCAGGACAGTGTGAGTGCACCGTGGTTCGCACGTTGGGCTCAAGTCTAAAAACCTTTGACTGCCGCTGCTGCTGCCACACTTCGTCCCCTTCGTCCTCGTCTCCCTCCCCCTCGAGATCGACCCCCACGTCCTGCTCGCCCCTCGTCCTCCTTCCCCTTCTCCTCGTGCTCCCCCTTCGTCCTCGCCCCCCGTCCTCCCCTCCTTCCTCCCTTCGTCCCCTTCCTCCCTTCGTCCTCCCCCCTCCTTCCTCCCTTCGTCCCCTTCCTCCCCTCGTCCCCCCTCCTCTCCTCGTGCTCCCCTTTCGCCCCCTGCCTTCCTTCGTCCTTTCTCCTCGTCGTCCTCGCCCTCCTCCAGTTCCACCGCCCGCCTCCCCCCCTCAGACCGCGCTGCAAATACGAAACAGCTCTGCCAGCAGCTGCCCCGCGGAAGGCGTCGTGTCCCCCAAGGGCCCCAGAGACCCAGGGAAGCTCTGGGGCAGGCACTGCAGGAGCATTCTGAAGAGCGGCGAAGCCTGTGCCCCAATATTTCTGCATGCAGGACTTCTCGTCGTACGTGAATGCTGCAAGCAACCCCTCATCCACTCGGCCTCCTCCCCTCCACCACCAACGCTTTCCCAACGACGGCGACGACGAGGCCTCGGACGACGGCGTCGACGACGAGGGACGCGGCAGCGACGACGCCGTCCGACGGCGGCACGGCCAAGGCATGGAGGCCCGGCATGCCCATGCAGGGCTGCGTTTCCGTCGGGCGCCACCCGGCTGGCCAGATGCAGGCGTGGGGGGGGGGACGCGGCCGGGGACCGGGCGCAGCCAGTCCGGTCGCCGGGGGGGAAGCGGGTCCTGACGGAAACGGGTCCTGAGGTTTTTCACCGTTTCCGGGCTCCCGGGGCCCTCCACGGGCCCCAGGACTGTCAGAAGACGGCCTAGGAAGAAGAAGTGGTCCTAGGGGAAGTTCAGGCCCCAGGGTCCAGGACCCTTTTCTCCTATGCGAAGATCGAGCGCAGCCTATCCAGGCCTCCCAAGTGGAGTTCGAGAGGAGGGGGTCGGAGGATCGCGCCGCATCGCCGATTGATACAGCGGCCATGCATCGGAATGTGGAGGCCGATGCTTTCCAAGCCGACGTCGCCATCGGCGATGCGGAGCGATCCTACGCCCCCATCTGCGCGGGCCCCCTCTGGGAGGTCTCCAGCCAAGCAGCACGAGGATCGAGACGTGGGCGCCGCAGGTTCCGGGGGGCGCCACGGAAGTCAGCTGCGTGAGCCGATTCTTTAACCCCGCCGTTGTTATTCCCCCCCTCTCGTCCGACCCGACATGGGCTTCGCTGTCAACCAGCGGAACAAAAAGTGACATAAACATAAAAACTGTGAGTTCTGCGCGGATTTCTCGGATCGGCGCTGGGGCCCCCCGGCGGCGCCTCCGGTGCCGCCCCTGACGCGCTCCGCGCGCCAGGGAGGGGGGTCCAGCGCCGATCCGAGAAATCCGCGCGGACCTCCGAGTTTTTATGTTTATGCCATTTTTTGTTCCCCTATCAACGGCTGCAGGCCTCTCGTGCGCCAGGTGAGGGGGCAACTGCGCAGGTCAAGGGCACGCGACGCCGCGCTGCCGTTGCTGCTGCTGAGATAATCTGGGTGGCCAGCGTGCGCGGCACAACCGTCGCCGCGAATTGGGCTCGCGAAGATGCCGTACAGTCAGAAGTGATAGTAGGGATGCACGATGAGGAGGCCGTGCCGACACTCTTCGAGCGGGGCGCGGCCAACAAAAAAGGCGGCCAGGGATGGACCGAAGGGAAAGGCTGCAGGGGAAACTATGGAAAGTGGCTGATCCTCACTATCAGTGCTGGCTGTGGCCAACGCCCGAATCGCCTTTTGTGGACGGCCCCGCGTCCCGAAAACGCCCTCCACGAGGAGGAGGAGGAGGAGGAGGAGGAGGAGGAGGAGAAGGAGGAGGAGGAAGGAGGAGGAAGGAGGGGGAGGAGGGAGGAGGAGGAAGGAGGAGGAGGGAGGAGGAGGGGAGGAGGAGGAGGAGGGAGGAGGAGGAGGGAGGAGGAGGAGGAGAGGAGGAGGGAGGAGGAGGAGGAGGAGGAGGGAGGAGGAGGAGGAGGAGGAGGAGGAGGAGGAGGAGGAGGAGGAGAGAGGAAGAAGGAGGAGGAAGGAGGAGGAGGGAGGGGGGGAGGAGGGAGGAGGAGGGATGAGAAGGAGGGAGGAGGAGGGACGAGGAGGAAGGAGGAGGGAGGAGGGGGAGGAGGGGGAGGAGGAAGGAGGAGGAAGGAGGAGGAGGGAGGAGGAGGGAGGAGGGAGGAGGAGGCCCCCCCCCCGAGACTCGTGCCCTGCAATTTCGGTCGCGGCGTGCGTGTTCGCTGGGCGGCGTCGGGCCCTCGGAGGGGCCGGCCGCGGAGCGGCCCGGCTCGAGCAGCAGCGCGGCAGGGGGAGGCGGTCTGCGCAGGGCTCTCGTCGTGATCTCTGGTGTTCGGCGAAGTTCCAGTGTCCAGACACAACTAATCGTCGGCTCACAGGGAAGTGTGAGAAAATATGGGAAGTGGGGGGGAAGACAGGAACCCAGAAGATGCGGGAAAAGACGGGGGATCCTGTTATTTGTGTGTATTTATTTGTGTGTCCCAAGGCCTCTTCACAATGCTTCGCGACGTCGGATCCTCCGGGCGTTGGATGCCCAGGCGAGGACTGGTTACGCGAGTGGCCGCCGCGCGTCTGTCCAGCGCTCGGCCTTCGATGGGCTCTGCCTTCCGGGCTTCCCCGCGTGCACCCAGCGCGTGGCCTCATGGATCTCCCGCATGGGGCGCTCCAAAAATCAAGGGGAAACCTCTCGGACCGGACAAGTGACGTTTACTAAACGGCCCTTGGCGTTTACTAAACAGCCCTGCCCTGTTTGATTCCTCCTTTGGGTGCGTTTACGAAACGGCTTCGCGTGTCGGGGTGGTTATTATCGGGGTGGATGTTCCGCCCTCGAAAAAAGGGCCCTGGCTTCGAGGACGGAAGGAGTTGCTGTCTCTTCCGCGGCAGAATGCGACGGCAGGCGGGGAGAAGGTCGGCGGAAGTGAAGCGAGGCCGCCTCCGCTTGCGGAGGCCGTCGGAAGGCTGGCGGCCGGCGGCGGAAGTAAACGATGCGCCCCCCAAGAGATGAAAGCGTTGTTGGGTTAGGGTTTCCGGAACCCGCCACATACATATGATAGCAGTGCTCCAGTTTCCTGGTCGTTCTCCAAGGGCACCTCTTCATCCCTGCGCAGATGTCGGCCCATCATCGATGCTCATTGCTGGCAGCTTTCGCCCAGGAGGCGTTAGCTTGGGCATCCAGGGCCGCTGTATCCCCGGGCCGCCTGCATCCTGTGATCCTGCCGCGCTGCATGAGACGCTCCAGAAAAGGCCTCGCCTTCGAGGATCGAAGGAGTTGCCATCTGGGGCTCGGGTCGTTCTCCGTGGACGTCTCGGGCGACTGGGGCCTCCATGGTTCCCAAACCGTGCGGTGACGGACCGCGTGGTGACCTCGAAATCCCAAGAGTCCTCACCGCGCGGTCCGTCGCCGCACGGTCCCGAACCGAGGCTGATTCCGGGGGAAGGTTCGGCTTAATCAGCTCACCTCGTGGAGCAAATACCACGGCGCCGGAGGTTTGGGGAGGGGTGGCCTCCGCACGGTGCGGTGACCGCACTGGTTGTGGTCCTCTGCGAGCCAGCGGGCAGGCCCGAGTTAGAAGCACTCACGCATGCTGCCGTCGAGGAGCGCCGAGGAGGATCTCCCTGAGGGTGAGGACGGCCCGACTGGGCATCATCGCCCTCCACCCGCCACGCCGGAGCTGCATCGAAGAAGTCAGCACTGTTTGGAGTCGAGCGGTTCTTCGAGGCCTCTTCTCGAGGAAGGCTCGAGGGCTCAGCTCATGGAGCGATTCCATCGGGGGGCGGAGGGGGTCCTTCTCCTCCCTTCTCCTCCTCCTTCTTCTCCTCCCCTTCATCTTTCTCCTCCTCGTCCTCCTCCTCCTCCTCAAGACGTCGCCCTACGACACGGACGCTGTCTTGGAAGCAGAGCGTCTACCCTCATGGAGCTACAGGTGCCCGAGGTGCTGATCTGTAGAGTCTGTTGCCCAGCGAAGGGGGGCTTCCCCCGTGGGTGTGAGTGCAGGTCGCGCCTGGCCGCGAGGAGCGCCCAGTCGAGGAGGGCCCAGGAGGAACGTCGCGAGGCCCAGCTCAGGAGTCCAAGGGAAGCGGCAAAGGCGACGACGGTCTGCTCTCGAGGGTCGCCATGCTCTCCTTGGCCACGGCGCGCGAGCATGCAATGCTCTGCGCAATCGCGTTGCCGACCTTCCTCATCCCAGCGGAGTCGCACCTCGCCAAGGGCGGGCTCGCAGCAAACAAGTTCTATGCCGACGCAGTGAAGACGGCCCACGAGCGCAAGCGAGCAAGCGACGAGGTGGAGCTCAGCAGCCCAGGCCCGTCGTTCACCATGATTTGCTCATGACGATTCATCATTTGATGAAGACGGGGCGTCCAGAGGTGCAGACGAAAGGCGACGGAGTTCTCTGCATGGCTCACGCGAAAGATCGCTCCCCGCAGCGCTTGGCGTCGCCTGTTTGGCACTTCTCGTTCAAGGCACCTCCAGGCTTTTGGCTCAAAGCAGATGGAGGATCAAATCCGTCTGCAGTTCGTGGTGGCGGGGAGACAGGATGTTAAGGTAAAGGGGTCCGAGATCTGGGGCGAAGAGGCAAGCGGTGGAAGCAAGCGCCAGGAGAGCCAACCCGCCACTGTGCCTGGGCCGTGGAGTACAGACCACCGAGCCTGGGTCGCAGGGAAATGGCGGGAAGTGGGGCGGAGAGGCAGACCTTGGACGCGCCAGGAGAGAGGCAGCCTGCCGCCGTGCCTGGGTGGTGCACCACACGCCACCGTGCCAGCGTGCGGTTCATGCGCCAGGAATGCAATGATCGGGTTGGGAGGATGGGGTTGGGAGAAATCAGGATATCCTTACCCGTAGGCGGCCAAAAGTATCGTTCATTGCGTGTGGATGCTTTTGCTCCCAACCCCTTCCTCCCGACACGATGATTGATCTCCTCAGTGCAGCCACTGGGGAAACCAACAAGTACTGATGCCGCTACTCCCTAGACCTCTCCCGGAGTGCGTTGTGACCAGGAGTTCCAGGCAGATCCATCTGTGGCGACGAGGGCACCCCAGGAGGCCCAAAATTCTGTGGCGCTTGCTGGCGGTCGCGCCCCCCACTAGGGCTCCTCTTGGGGTCGTTTTGGTGCCGTCTTGGGGCCGTCTTGGGGCGTCTGTGACGCGTCTCTGGCTGTCTCAGGGCCCTCCCAGGCTGTCGTCGAGCCATCTTCGGGGCCTCTGGGGCCGGTTTAGGGCGGTTTGGGCGGCCTGTTGGGACGTCTTGGGGCGTCGGAGGTTCGAGACGGGGAGGACCAAGAACACATGGGACAACTCACGGGGAATCAATGATTTGGGCCTTTCGGGGCCCTCTGGGAGAGGCTCTTGGAGGCCTCTTGGGACGTCTTGGGTGTTTGTTTTCGGCCAGCTCGGAGACCTGTGTAGGCCCTCTTAGCAAGTTTGGGGGTCATACGAGACCACGCCCGCCCTGGAGCCCAGAGGTTACGCTGGGCCCCCCATCGCGCGTTCGTGACGGGCGAAGAGGTGGGTTTGTGGTCCCGGAGACCCACAAGGGGTTGGCGGATTATGCTTATTAGTAGTACGACTGCTGCTCTAATTACGACTGCGACTACGACTACCACTAGAAGTCTACGTCCCACGTGGTACGTACTCCTACACGA